ATAGACGCTGTTCATTGATCCTTTTATGGACCACTCAAAATGGGTTATCAGAGAAAAGAAAATTGTTTCTTAGAAATCTTCGTGAATGTTATCACAAGCGTCAATTCGAAATGCTTTCCTTTGTTTAGTGAAACAAAGGTTGTCAATAATATGAAAATGTACGATACAGGGCCCTGTTCCACAAAGCGATCTTAGCGCTAAGGTGATTGTAACTCCCATTCTTTAACACTGGCTTACAACAGTCGTAGCGCTAAACTTGCTTTGTGGAACGGGGCCCAGACCTTTAAATTTTTCTGCAACATTTACCTTCTGCAGTGAACCATAATGAGCTCTTATTATACCACAGCGTTTGAGAAAAACAATCCGTAAAGAAAAGCAATATACATCGGACGCCAGCCTTTAACTCCCCTTTCTTCTTGTTCATCAAGCCAGGGTGCGTTGTGAAACTGGCTGGGAACGATATAACTTTACCGACTGTATCTGGCTCAGTGAGACCGCAACAACATACACCCTTGCAGAAAAAACATGTACCGAGAAAGGAGGACAGCTGCTTGTACTTAGGGATCGACGAAAGGAACTATTTGTGAATGGTAAGTGACACATGCAGTTCAGAGATGGGAGATCGGAGAGAGTGAGTGAGTGATGAACAAAATTTTAATTATTATATAATTTATGTGATTAATTAGAGGTCGAAAACGTTAACCACGAGCGGCAGATAAAATAATAATCAAAGAAAATATTGGATTCGAATCCATGATCAGCGGATCCTGGCATGGCTAAGGGACACAACTCTTTGAACAACCGTGCTTCGGCTCTGCCCTGCACATGATTATAGTGTCGATCTTTGTTTACTAATAACAAATGTACAAATGGTCACAGTGCTTGCATAACACAAGTCGTATTATCTACACATGAAGACAGACTAACAAACAAACAAACAAAACAAACATTATGTCCTATCTAGTAAATTCGGATTGGTACAACGTAAATTCCCACATGACAGTGATCTTTAAGTGGCGAGTCATCTTGCAGGTTACGGAAATGGTCGATTGGTGAAGAATGTGGGTTATGGTAGGGTTATTTCTTACGAAATGACAGTACGTTATTGGATACTGCAAATTGTAATGTTCGACAAGGATGCATTATAAATCCTATCCATTAATCCGATCCTTTATTAAAGTTTGAAAATGTTTTAAGGTAGACATATAAAGCCATTTCCAAATTTGACGCATCAGTGACAAAAGTGATGTCCGATGCAGTTCCTTATTTTGACATGTACCACATGTTCCCGTGTATATTTTCAGCTGAACAATTAACTTGCCTGGGCATGTGTTTGTGATGGGTGCCACCGTTGGGGTAGGATACGCTCCCCTTGTCATCATTATTAGATAGTGATTCTGATATAGTCGGAATGGTATTATACCTCTGCTTTTGTTAGACTCTTCTGGTGATAATGGAAATGCTTTTGTTGCCTATATTTGTATAAACGTCAACGAAGCGAATTACCTTCAAGCAGGGATTGGAGTGAGTGAGTGAGTGAGTGAGTGAGTATAGGTTTACGCCGTTTTTAGCAATAGTCCAGCAATATCACGGCGGGGGACACCAGAAATGGGCTTCACACATTGTACCCATGTCGGGAATCGAGCCCGGGTCTTCGGCGTGACGAGCGAACGCTTTAACCAATAGGCTACCCGACCTCCCCAGCAGGGATTGGAGGTCGGTTATGGTAGCTAAGTGGTTAAGACGTTATTTTGGCACGTCGAAGGCACGGGTTCGATTCCCTACATTTGTGAAAGTTTTAAAGCCCATTCCTAAGTATTCCCCGTCGTGATATTGCTGGAATGTTGCTAAGGGGTGTGTGTTGGGGGGGGGGGGGGGGGGGGGGGGGGGTAAAACTCTTCTCATGCGCTATACCACTGATTGAAATATTATTATGCAATCTGTTGCAGCATTACCTGGAAGAAGTGGAGAGGAATTCTGGATAGGCCTGTTTACGACTTCATCGATTTTCAACCCCCACCTCAAATCGAAACTGCGTAATCAACTTACTTCTGATGCAAGTATTTAAACATTTCTCATGCAGTGGAATCTGTCAATACCGTGCCCTGACTTAAGTTCTGTCGGATATGGGGGCGATCGGGTAGCCTAGTGGTTAAAGCGTTCGCTCGTCACGCCGAAGACCCGGGTTCGATTCCCGACATGGGTACAATGTGTGAAGCCCATTTCTGCTGTCCCCCGCCGTGATATTGCTGGAATATTGCTAAAAGCGGCGTAAAACCATACTCACTCAGTCACTCTGTCGGATATGCTAGAGAAATTTATGCTTTTTGCCCCTTATGAAAAGATTGAAACTTTCACAGACTGTTGCTATTGAAACATCGATTAACTTTGATTTAAAATATTAAAAATTAAAATAAACGCATGATACACAACTGCTGTTGGTTACCTTAGATGTCCACATATCTTATTAATTTTGCTTTTTTTGGCACAAATTTACAACATTTCAAACACAGTAGGGGGCATATGGTTGCAAATTCATTTGTATCCCAGGATTTATTGAACCGTCGCTATGTAAGTGCAATAATCTTGGACGCAACGTTTAACCCCATTTCAGCTCGCCTTCATTGAACCAGTTTAGTTTTACACAAATTTCCCATCCGCGGATAACCTTTTACAAACTGTTGCAGGAATGAGTGATGGTTAAATAGACATAATCAAATTTAACAACAGTTCTTTCTATATAATTGCTTCAAAAATTAACTCGGTATACTTTCTTTTGCCCCTCAGTTTATTCGGCCGATATGTCAAGTATTCATGCCACGCCTAAGTAACGCCATCCTCGATAATCCAGAGTATTATTATTTCATAATGGTGGAGATATAAGAATACGTTGGATAATCAAGGATGAAGTAACGCAGGCTGTGGATGTGTGCCAAGTTTGCGAAAGCATATAGGGCACGATGCACAATTTGAGGATAATTTCGCCACTAATCTGGCATTTGAAACAACGTCCATCGATTTCGTTGCCTAAATTATTCCGCCATAATTGCAAACGAATTTTGAATTGACAACCAAAAAGATTGATGATGTGGTCAGTTTGAAAGCAAGCTTCTGGTGAGCAAAGACTTTTTCAGGGTCTAGGATATAGTGAGTTAGTGAATTTGTGTTTACACTTCTTAAAGTATTGTAGTTCTCTCCCGACGTGTCAGCTTACTGTGGGTGAAAAACAACAGACAATGGGCGTTTACCACGTTGGTGAATCCCACAAAGTATGGTGCGGACATATCAAGGATCATAATCTGGGACTCGAAACCACGATCAGAAGATCCTGGTACAAGTAAGGGACGCAGTTCTAAACAGTTGAAATCCGGTGTCTTAAACGACCGGACTACCCGTGCCCCCGTTAACATCCCTGACCGCCCTGGTGTACAAGGCTTGACCGATGGGACGTTTCATTTCAACAGAGGTGTAGCTGTAGTATTAATGGCAGATACATAAAAAAACATAATCACTTACATCCATGGAGAAATAATATGGTGGTCCAGTCGCATAAGGCGCCACAATTCGTTGTGCAGAGTTGCGTCTCTTTTGGCACTCCAGAAACCTATGCATGTGCATTCGAATCCCGGTTCGTCCCGATTATGTTTCTAGGTTTGTCAGCACCACAACCGTGCTTGTGGGTTTCAGCAAAATGATAAATGTTTTAGACAACACGTGCAATAGCCTTTACACTGTCTCCTTAATACATTGATTTAATGTATAACAGTGGTAGGAGAAACACAAAGCTTAAACCAGTGTTCGAAATAAGCGCTTGCCCGTGGATCTCGTGTCCTTAAGGCCTGTGGTAAATTTACGTGTCGATTTATTTATCACAATAAGCTACAGTTTTTTTTATTTGGGGCCTGAAGAGTTTAGTTAGGATCTGCAACTTCTGAAGTATGTTGGTCATGATGGAAGCCTGGTATTGTTTTAATTTTAGACTCTGGTTCATCATTGCATCAGTTTACTTTAACTAGACATTCCTCACTACGACACTGCTTAGCGGACCGCCTCCGTGGTCTAGTGGTAGAGCGTCCGCCCGGAGATCGGAAGGTCCGGGGTTCGATCCCCGACCGCGTCATACCAAAAGACGTTAAAAAATGGCACATGTTGTTACCCTGTCTGGCGCTCGGCATTAAGAGTCTAAAACAAGGACTGGTCGGCTCGGAGTCAGTTTACTGTGTCTGAGTGGGCTATTCATGTTAAAACTGCGGCATGGTATGTCAGTGAGCTAGCACTATAAATCGGCATCATTTCACTACACCTCACTGCTTAGCGACCGAACTGTTCACGATGCTTATGTTTCCATGATATACACAGTTAAGACTATTTCAATATTTATCCATATTTTCTTTATTTCCAGCACTTGTGCCGGCAGAGGGTAAGTCACACAAAGACTCTATCTAGTTGATATAGACGGAAATATGCAAGTATACATACATTAATCATGTAGCTTACGTCATATACACGGCACGGTGACGCTGTCCTTTGCAGGCGAGCGGGGTTTGCTTTCCTAATTTCCTATTCAATATGTGTTCATTCCAAAAGTGGAAACCTTTGCAATTATGAACGTAAAGCAAGGGGAAAATGCATCCGAAAGAGCGTTTAGTATATAAATATAATAGGTTTGAAATTCGTAGAGAACATCGTGATTATTTACCCTCATTCATTTAAGCGCGCCATTTTGAAGGGTTACTGTTTCGTGGTTTGTCATTCAAGCCTTCAATTAATCCACAAACTAATATCGTTGACAGAATTGTTGTGAGTTATATAGGCTCGCTGACATGGTTGATGTATGTCATCGTATCCCGATTGCGCAGATCGATGCTCATGATGTGAATCACTAGATTGTCTGGTCCAGACACGATTATTTACAGACCGCCGTCATATAGCTGGAATATTTCTGAGTGCGGCGTTAAACAACAAACAAACGAGACAAACAAACGATAATCGTTGATGTCATGTCCGCAGTGGCGTTCTACTGTTTTAACTCGGAAGTGTGGGGCCAGAGTATGCTCCTCCGTGTCAACCCTAGGGGCATAAGTTACGACGCAATAGACGCCACAGATCAACACGGCGTCAGCATGGACGGGTGCGACAAGGCGTCCTTCACATTTGACTACGCCACGGGAGTGTACAGTAGAGTCGTCAACATCACTGATGACGACAGTAACAGATGCGGAGGCGTTGTGGTAAGTTTATCAATCAATCAATCAATCAATCAATCAATCAATCAATCCAACTTCTTAAACCGATCGATCGATCCAACTTCTTAAATCGATCGATCTAATTTCTTAAATCGATCGATCGATCAACTAATCACACAAAATATTTGCTTTTACAGAAAGGCCAGATTCAGTAGTACGCAATTCATTTCAATGGTGGAGTTGCGTTGAATACAGAGTCTGTGGACATTATTGCTATACATTTACACGTGTTGGGTTTTGCAAAGAAATACTTCTCGATATATTTACGACCAACAGTGATGTATTTGGGGAAAATGAGAATGAAAAGTAATGATATTCATCTTCGATACATCTTTATTTCTTTTATTTATATCCCTTATAGAAGCGTATTAGTGGCACAGTCTTAAAAAAATATCTTCTACATAGATGATACATGTCCTAACGTACTTTCATCAACGTATCATCTATCATCTAGAAAAGCATGCATTCCATCCAAAAGTTGACTTTTATGCAAGCCCCCATGTGCGTTAACGGGATTCCATATGCATTGTTTAGCATCGTGCTGACAACAACCATTCAGAAAAACAACAAAATTACGCAATTATTCAACATTACGAAATGCCACGCCTGTCCGAAAATGAGCGTCTGCGAGCCATTGGTATGCTTGAAGCAGGATCGAGTCAACGTGATGTTGCAAGACAATTTAACGTCCACAGAAACACCATTTGGTGTGTATGGCAACGTTGGCAACAGACGAATGCAGTCAGAGACCATCCTCGGAGTGGCAGGCCACGCGTAACCAATAATCGACAAGACAACTGGATTCGAACAACACACCTACGAAATCGATTCCAGCCAGCAACAGTGACTGCAAGAAGCATCCCTGGCCTTCGACGAATATCTTCACAAACCGTACGTTGTCGCCTCAGATGTGCAGGGATTGTCGCCAGAAGACCCGCCAGACGTCCCATTTTGACAGGAAACCACCGTCAAGCACGTCTACAGTGGTGCAGACAGCGTCTACGCTGGACGGCCATGTAGTGGGGACAAGTTCTATTCACTGACGAGTCTCGTTTTCACATCAGCCACAGCGATGGACGGATTCGAGTGTACCGACGTCGAGGTGAACGTTACGTCAATCAGGCATTACCTTTCAACATGACAACGCCCGGCCTCACATTGCTCGATTTGTTCAGGTCTCTCTTTAACAAAACACAGTGAATGCCATCCCCTGGCCGGCTCACCAATCGAGCACATGTGAGATAAGATGGATCGGTGCCTTCGACGTCAACCACGTGTTCCACAGACACTACAGAAACTTCGAAACATGCTCCAGCAGATATGGACAGATATCCCACAGGACTTTGTGCGACGCCTGGTCCATTCCATGAGGTGGACAAACACGCTATTGATTTGTAAATTGACAATTTGGCATGTTAATATTTTTATGAAATCACGCATTTTCTGAAGTCAGTATGGCAAATTAAACCATTTGAACACTTACAGGAGTCTTTTATCTGTTGCAAACCGAAATTGTTTCAGATTTGCTAAAAAACATAACTTTGCACTAAATCTTATTCAATGTCACAGGAACTTTTGTTGTTCAGTATATTTCACTGCTTCACGTGACTATGATATTTCATAAACATCCCGGATGTCGAGACCCTGATATACATGTTGCTCAAAGGTGAATTGTGTGAGCACAAAAAACCTGTCAAAATCTCCATGCTTCCGGTGTTTCACACGCCCCGGGAACGCCGTGCCGTCGTTCATATGATTCTGCCAGGGTGAAGAGAGCAGCAAGGAACCACCACCCACCCCCCCCCCCCCCCCCCACCCCCCCCACCCCCCACCCCCACCCCACCCCACCCCCCTTCTTCTAGTCGGTCGTGATATAACCTAATAGTGTTCAAAGGGGAGTAGCCCATCTCACTCAATCCCTCCCTCACTCACTCACTCTGTTTCTTTTTCAGACGGACGAGGGACTCACTCACTCACTCTGTTTCTTTTTCAGACGGAGGAGGGGGTTTGGCAATGGGCTTTCCGTTTCCAAGAACGTACCGGGGTGTTGTCCCTTGCAGACCTCAACGTCGTCGTCAAATGCGACTTCAGCAAGGCTGACACACTGTCAGGCGACGACGATATAGGCATTGAGGGGTAAAGTTGTAAACATATTCAACATATTCACCTCGCGATGTGACGGGGTAGGGGGTGGCGTCATGGATGAATCAGTCACTCGTCACGCCGAAGGAACGGGTACTATTCGACACATGAACACAGCGTGGGAATCCCATATCTGGTGTCTCTTGTGTCGCAATGCTGGAATATTGCTTGAAGCGGCGTAAAACTATATTCGCTCACGAGAATTAACGAAAGGCGTGGTACCCCTGTATCATTTTGTGTTTCTCGAAGGTCGTTATTTGCGTGAACAATAACAGAGGCCGTCACCCCTTTAAGGATTTCAATACGATTCGTTATGACCGAGTATTTTCTATATCAGACTTAGTCATATCTGTAAATAACTCCGAAGATAAACATGCATGGGCAGATTGTTAGTTATATTTAGTTGCTATGGTAAACGAAGCTAAAGCATAGTTACCGTATACTTGGTAATACAAATTTCCTTCAAATTTCAAAATAACTAAGAAATGTAACTATTTGCATACTAAGCCGTGGGACAAAAGAAAGTTTACCGAGTTAGTAATTATAAATAGAAAGAACTGTTGTTAAATTAGATTATGTCAATTTAACCAGTACTCATTCCTGCAACAGTTTGAAAAAGGTAATCAGTGGCTAGGTAATTTTGTGTAAAAATAAATGGGATCAATGAAGACTGGGGCAAAAAACGAATTGACCACATGACCTCTACCATACATTAAAAAAACATATAACCATGCAGAAGTATTCTTTGAGTACCGAATAAGCGCCAGTACAGTTCGTCTTTTGGATATAATATCGCTTAAGATATTTTCAATTGAATATCAAACAAAACCAACTGTGAGGTATAGTTTTTGCTCCTGTTTATTATTAGTATTATTATTATTCATCTAGTATTACCGGCAAATGGTATTCGAATTGGATTTCACATATTGGATCCATGTGAGGATTCAAGACCGGGTCTTTGGTGTAACGAGCCATCATTTAGAGGTCACCATCGACCGCTTATTCCAAGCGCTGCTTAATCACCAAACGAGGGCTTCAGTGCGCCTTTCTACACATAAATCCTCAGAGGTTGTTACAACCCCGGTTGTTATTTACTTTAGGTCCATAAACTTTAAAAGATGTTGATTAACCCATAGTGAGTGAGTGAGTATAGTTTGACGCCGCTTTTAGCAATATTCCAGCATTATCACGGCGGGCGACACCAGACATTGTACCCATGTGGGGAATCGAACCCGTGTCTTCGGCGTGACAAGCGAACACTTTAACCACTAGGCTACCCCACCGCCCCTGACGTTTCTGTAAACGTTTCGTGCAGACGAAGAGGGTTCAATGTAATATCTATGACTACTTTGAAATGGATAATAGGAACATGATTCTTATATTCTGCAGAAAGGTTGATACTGTCGTAAACAACCTGGATGAAACGAAAGAAGAGGTGAAACTGTCAGTGATCAGCCCCGCGACGCTTGAGGAAGTACAGAAGATCCAGCTAGGGGGCTATGTTGCTCTCAAACTAGAGCTACACACTAAATCAGGTCAATAATTTGTTATTCGATATTGCTGCGAGTTAACACAGAGATTGAATCGAACGCTAACCTCATAATGTATAAACAGAGAAATAATGATTGAAATACAACAGGATGGTGTTATCAAAATAAATTTATTCACACTAAGAATCAGCATCAATATATTTGGACAAAGTGCAAGTGCATGGGATCAAAAAAATACATTGTAGTGCAATTATGATAATGTTGTTGTTAGTGTTGTTGTTGTTGTTGTTGTTGTTGTTGTTGTTGTTGTTGTTGAACGCCGGCCGCACTCAGCAATATTCCAGCTATATGACGGCGGTCTGTAAATCATCGAGTCTGGGCCAGACAATCCAGTGATTGACATCAGGAGCATCGATCCACGTAATTGGGATATGATGACATGCATTAACCAAGTCAGCGAGCCTGACCACCCAATCCCGTGAGTCGCCTCTTACGACAAGCAGGGTCGCCTTTTACGGCAAGCATGGGTTGCTGAAGACCTATTCTACCCCGGATCTCCCCGGGTCGATACATTACTGTGAACACGGCGGTCCCGATAGGTCATAACACAAGGAGGCACAGACTTGAATATTCAGCCCAAAGTTTGAGTGACCTCAGTCAACCGAAAGCTACCACAATTCTGTCACTGGGGTTGACTTGATGTACCCCCAGTTTTTCATTTCTTTGCTTGACAAAGCTTGAGTGTACCTTATCTTTTTAATGATTGTAAAAAAAGCAAGAAAGGTTAACCAACGCGTAGAACATCAGATATGTAAAATCACTATCAAAGTTATTTTTTTTATTCTAAAGTATTTATATCAACATTTGAAAGTTAATTTTCCCTAGCGCATTTCATAATTCATATATACTGTTGTTACCTACAACCAACAGTGGTCAAGCATCCAAAAGAGGCATAGACATTGGATATCCTGAGTGAAAATAATGATCTTCTCACAACCGGTGGTCTTGATGTAATGTGAGATGCGAGAGGCACGCCTTGCCCCCTTATATGTTATAAATATCACCTGGAAGGTTCTATACAGTGCTGGACAAGTCTATCTGTTCCAGAAGATTCTAGATTACACTTGACTCCAAAAAGAATCTGAAGATAGTAACTTCCACACCACTCCTTATATTAGATAGTACTACATTCCTCACAACTAGTTATTGTCTAAAGACAATGATATAAGCTTCAACTCAATCTCAACAATACAATTCCAACATTGTTTAACAATAAATTACACTTCCACATAACACTGTCAATACCTAGTTAATTATATTCTTTAACACGATTTTATTAATAATTGAATTAATAAATGAAACTAATTAACTTTAACGAGGACGTCACTTGAAGTACAGCACAGTAGGTATAGGCAACTTTGGTTAACCGAAGTATGACGTAAGACAGTTGACATGTGCTAACATTGATCAACCCTGGGTCGTCCAGGGTTTTGAAATTGAACGCAAGCACTGTTTATCAAGAACATGTAACTTCTCGAACTTTCTGGTACTATTTTCCAATCAACTGGTCATAAAAATGGTCATATGATACGGTAACCTGACTTACAACTATTTATTTTTTCAAATATACATAATTCAACTAACTTGTTTAAATTTATTAGGAATACTGTGGTTTAAACATTCAATAGTGTTACGTATCCTACAATCATTTTTTATGATCATAACATTTGATATCTGTTGAGTCTCGTTTCTCGTCTTTTGACCTAAAAAATCTTAAAGAATCGGTAACAAAAAAATGCACGTCTAACTTCATTTGTCACTACAATGCAACTGATGACATTAAGAGTTATCCATCCTTGACATGTGAGAAACTCAACGACAGTTATCTCCAGTGTTGACATCAACACATTCGCGGTGAACGAGAAATAAATGAAATAGTTTGTCTTTTTGTAAAAGGTCATTTTAGGAATCCGAATAGATTAACAATATAAGCAATGTTTTTTTCAGTAAAAGAGTCTTGTATCATCGTTAGTACGGCTTTAGTTCATGAAACTGGTTATAGTGAGTAAGTGAGATTAGGGCAGACCGCTTTTAATAGTATTTCGGTCTTATCAAGGCGTGTCAGCTTGATATGGAATGAAAGCCCGAGGCGATGCAGGTCTCAGACGCTTACCACTTTCGCGAAACCCACAAGCAAGGGTAGCAGACAAACCCCGAAACATCATACCTGAGCTTCGAACCTACGTTCGAATTGCGGCGCGTTAGACGACTGGCCCACCTGTGGCGCCAATACTGAAATACTTTTACTAACTCATAAATATATGTGACCCATTGCACTATGCTTGACCGAATCTTGATTCACAGTGATAATTCTACTGCACTTCCTACAGGGTTCGTGGCGCGAGGAGTTTCGGGATACAACTGCGAGGCCTACACTTCAGACGGAACCTACTCAAGACTGCTGATAGATAAAAATGGGTGAATATGGAACCGTTATTCTGTGTTCAGTTCCTTATTTCGCCAAAACTACTCGCAGTGGTACGCACTTGGGCTCATTTGGCTTCCGTGACTTAAATCGGCATCTTTTCTTTACTTTACCAAAATAAACACTCGTCAATGCTGCCCTGCCTTTTCTGTCGGCCGTATGCATCGACGGCTGATCGATGAGTGAATGAGTGAGTGAGTATGGTATTACGCCGCTTATAGCAGTATTCCAGCAACATCACGGCGGGGGACACTAGAAATGGGCTTCACACATTGTACCAATGAGGAGAGTCGAACCTGGGTCTTCGGCCTGACGAGCGAACGCTTTGACAACTAGGCTATCCAACCGCCCCGGATGATGGATGAACAATAAAGTTCGATCACATCCACCACTCTCATCATTTTCCAGAATCAACCATATCCATCACAATCATCAGACATCGTCATCAAAGAATCAATCACACTCATCAATCACCACCATCAACCATAATCATCACATGCATGCGACCGCCTCCGTGGTCTAGTGGTAGAGCGTCCGCCCGGAGAGCGAAAGGTCCGGGCTTCGATAACCCGGCCGCGTCATACCAAAAGACGTTAAATGGTGGTACTTGTTGTAACCCTGCCTGGCGCTCGGCATTTAGGGGCTAAAACAAGGACTGGTCGACTCGGAGTCCCAGTATACTGTGTCTGAGTGGGGTATTCATGTTAAAACTGTGGCATGGTATCTCAGTGAGCTAGCACTATAAATCGGCATCAGTCCGGACTAGTACAAGCAGCCACACAAAGACACACACGTACATGCACGTCGCTACATAAGTGCAATAATCTTGGACGCGACGTTAAACCCCATTTCACCTCACCTCTTGGCCAATGAAAGGAAAAGACCATTTGTTAATCTGAAGGTTTTTTTTATTTTTCTGGAGATCAGATATTTTTTCAGCTATAGCTGCAAAACCAGACATTTTTCTAAATTGAAACTATATGCCTGAGTACATGTTTTTTTAAACGAAGTAAACTTATAGAA